ACTAAACTCGCCCCCACTTCCTCGCCGCCTCGGCCGTATCTAGACCCACAGCGTGTAGCTCAGACCACGCTTCAATACTGAGCATAATTTACAAATGTCTGCATCAAGCTCACTGCAACACACTGCTGTAAGAGTATAACCAGGAAGCGAGGTAGGAGGGCAAAATAGGTTTAGCGCCACCGCAGCACGGGAGGGAGAATTACGCCCCAAAAAACATGAATCGTTTCTTTTGTAGACGTATCGATGCATCGGATCGTCGGCTGTTGGATCGATGCATCGATACAAAATGATTATTATTTACACCCCTAACTGTGACACAGTGGAGTCGCGATGTCTGCAGTGTTTCTCAATAATCACGTCGTTCTGCAGACGCCTGGTTGCTGCTTTAAGGTTGTGTTTTCTCTCAGGAGCCCAAGATGACCCGGTCCAGACTGAAACAAGCTGTGCAGCAGGGACAGGTGAGCAGAACCTCCCGCCTCAAACCAACTCTGCTGATCAGAACCAGCATCTTTATTGTGTCTCTTTGCTTCCAGCGTCTGAATTGGGGCCTGTCAGCCCTGAACACGGTCAAGGTAACGTCCGTCTCTCTGTCTGTCCCTCCTTCTGTCCGTTCTGTCCTGCAGTGTTTTTTATTTTATACACACAGGCTCCTCAGTTTGTTGACATCGATCTTGAAGAGGAGGAAGACTCCTCTGATGAAGAGTATTGCCCCGATGATGAAGAGGAGGAGGAGGACACAGCTGAGGAGGTGAGAAGAAAAATCGACTGAACCATTTATCTGACAAGGAACCAAACTAAATTCTGTTTCTGGAACATAATTAATGTTTCTAATCTTCACCAAAGGCAGAAAGTTTTAGGTCAAACCTCTAAAACTGTTTTATTTAACTAATTTTACCCAGTTTCCTTTAGCTGGAACTCAAACTGGTCGACTGTCCTGCTGTGCTGCTGCTCTGTTGAACATTTTTATTGACAATTTGACCTCATTTGTTTTATCTTTAAAAGTGTGTCAGGTTTCTGGGGGGAAATTGTCAAAACTAAACTTCGCTGCATTTGCAGGTAGGAATGCACGATACAATCGGCCCCCTATCGGTATCGGCCTTAAAACTGAATATCGGACATCGGCCACCCCACCGATATTTAACCCGATATTTGATCAGCTTCTGAGTTTC